ACGTGGATCCATCTCATTGTAGGTTTTCCAATATTTCGCTGCCCCTTCACTTTACCAAGCCTAATGTCCTCCAAGAACTGGCCTCTCTTGATAGCCTGTCCAAAGTACGTGAGACAAAGCTTTGCCATCTTTGGCCTTAAGGAGCATTCTAGCTGTACTTCCTCTGAGACTGATTTCTTTGTTGTTGTTGTTGTTGTTGTTGTTGTTGTTGGGTTTGGAGGGTGGGTGGGGAGAAGTCCATGGCATGGACTTTCAATATTCTTTACCAGCACTATGATTCACATGCACCAATTCTCTAGCTCTCCTTATTCAATGTTCAACTTCCATATCTATATAAGCTATGAGGCCATTGAAAATACTATGATGCGCCAGGCACACCTTAGTCCTCAAAGTAACATGTTGCTTTTCAACACTTTAAAGAGGTCTTGTGAACACATTTAGCCAATTTAATACATCATTTATTTCTTGACTGCTACTTCTGTGAGCATTGACTGTGAATCCAAACAAGACAAAATCCTTGACAACTTCAATAATTTCTCCATTTATCGTGATGTTGCTTTGTGGGGAACAGAGAATGGGAAGAGAGTGCGTATGGATGAATCCTTTAATATTGTATATTAAGTCTAGCAGGCTGGGTTTCTGGGGTGACAAGCACATGGTTTATTGCTCTCTAGCCAGCAGCTTTAACTATGGGAAGAGACATGTGCTATTGCTCTTAGGCTCTGAAGACAGGCACTTGCCCTTTTTTTGCCCCCCAGCACTGGTGTTAGATTGCTCCTCCAATATACTTAGGGACCTCTAGAGTTAGGGGACAGCTCACTTTGTTAGGTTATGTGGTTACCTGTTATTAGGGGGCTTGCATGTCCCCTGGAGTATATAAACCTCTGTTGTAAATATATTCACTCTCTCTGCGTGGACCTGGCTCCTGAAGACAAGACTGAAAGTGAGCCCTTTCATGCCTTGTCTTGTCTGATGTCTCTTTAATTTACTCTTCAATTATACATCCACCCCTTGGGCCCATTCAGTTGTGGGGGCTGGTTCCCCACATTACCTACAGGTCCAGATGTGAAGATTTTTGCTCTGTTTACATTAGGTTGTAATCCATATTGAAGGCTACAATCCTTGACCTTCATCAGCAAGCACGGTTGGTGCCAGCTGCATATTGAAGGCTACTAATAAGCCTTCTTCCCAAACTGATGCTGTGTTCTTCTTTATATTGTTCTTCCAAAACTGATGCTGTGTTCTTCTTTATATTGTTCTTCCAAAACTGATGCTGTGTTCTTCTTTATATTCTTTGGCTTCTCGTATTTATTTGACCAGCCTACAGATTGAATAGTATGGTGAGAGGATACAACCTGCCACGCACCATTCTTGAAGGAGCCATGAAAGGAGGACCTTGTCTCCTGTCATGTATCTGTCTAGGACAGTGCACAAACGTCTGTCCTAGCTGGTTCTCCTAAACTGCTTCCTTATTTCCCTGGCAGCTTGGCTTGCCCACGAGCGCAGGATGTCCTTCAAGTGCAGACAGTAAGGAATTTGGGGAACAGCTGCATACAGTGTTCCCTGGGAGCAGTAAACAAGAGCAGTACGCCCTGAGATACAGAACTCTGTCAAGGCTATGAGAAATTCAAGCGTGGGAATAGTGAACTTATCTGGGAACACTGCCAGTATTTAGTAGATTAAAAAAAAGGCTGTGATCCATCAGGACTGCAGTTTTGTACCATCTCTGTCTGTGACTGTTTTGTGCTGCAGTCCTGGTGTGTGTGTGTGTGTGTGTGTGTGTGTGTGTGTGTGTGTGTGTGTGCTGTTTGGTTCTTTGTTCATTTTCCCTACTTGGAAACCATGGCAATTCTTAATGTAAACTATGCCGTATTCCCTTGTTTTGTTCACATTACTGCCTCTTGATCCATGTGTTGCTCTACTTGAGTACAATGAAGTGTTCTGGAATTCCCATTGTTCTCAAGGCTATTCATAGTTTGTTAGAATCCAAATAGATAAATGCCTTTGAATAGTAAATTGAACACAAGTAAACATCTCTTTGGTGATAGGGGTATAAAATTAACAAGAGATGTAATAATTCAAATAATTGAAAGTTTTGCAATAGTTGTGTTATTAGAATAGCACATATGACATCAGGTATTCAGTATATTTTGTATAAAACAGGAAAAAACAAAAGGCTATAACACTAATGAAATTAAATAAACTGAATTTTGTTCTTTTCTCAGCATTAGATACCTATATTTGCTCTTAAATGATCATATACCAAACTAAATGTATCACAAAATAATTATTTTTTAAATCAACATACAATTAAAATAAGTTAATAATTTTAATTTTATTTACCCTTAATTAATTTTTCTTATTAATACATGCCATATTTTTCAACCAACAAGGGTGGTTTGATAGCTATTAATAAATGTTAATGATTAACCACTTTTTATGACTCCTTCCTTTTAAAAATAATATTATAATAAAATTTTGACAAAAATATTGACTATACTCTTCAAATAGTATTGTACTAATACAACTCTGTTATAATTTTATTAATAATAAGCACTAGCATTTATTAATAATAAGCACTAGGTTGAGATAAAGGAAAATGTATAAAAATGTTCAAGTGTAAATTGCTGTTACTTGAAACACTAATAAAATTTGCTTTGCATGTGATCCATAATCTGTAAAGAGCAATGGTATTGAATATGAAATAAAAACTTAAAATATTTATTGCACTTGTGCTATTATTAATTGCTTGTCACACAATTCAGAAAAAATCTAAATTAGATTTCATATAAGTTTGTCTTCAAGCCTTTAAGACCCCAGATGCTGTATCTTTTGATAGCCGGGAACGATCAGCTTTCTTCACCACATTTGCTTATACACACGTTTGTCTTCAGTGATCATGTTGGGAAGGGGGATATCACGGAATGACCATTTAGCTGAGCAAAGTGCTCTTGTGTTAAGGGAATGCACCCGAGGAAGCCCAATGTCCACATGCTACCCTACTACTAAGCCCATAAATATATGCACATAGGTCTATTTCCCCCATAATCATAAATGTATTTACATATGTGCATGTCTGTATTTAGGCCTCTATGTATATCCTTTGCTATGATTATGATCTCCATCTACAGAAATAAACAGCAGGCCTACAACAGTAAAAGTTAATTTTAAAAGAAATAATGCAATATTTTTTTCACTTAAAGGAAGATTTGAGTCTACAGATCAGAAGGACCTGGCAAACCTATATTAAAGAGAATACACACGTTCTTTTTGTTTGTTTGTTTTTTGTTTTAATATGACTATAAAACAATGCAAATACTTCTAAGGTGATACTCTATATAATTATAAAACCATTTGAATAATCTGAATTATTTATTCATTTTTAATCTGGAGATTACAATGTAATCTGGAGAATACACGATGAAATAAAGTATGTTAAATTACCCAGCATGCCTACAGGGGGTAAGAGACAAATATCTTCACACTGCCTAATGTAGAGAGAAAATACAAATATTTTCTGTTCAATTTTTTTCACATCGGAGGCGATAGATTCTGACTCATTGTGACTTTTGACAAGGTTTCGGAGGCCATAAATCTATACAGGAGGAGGCAGCCACACTCTCTCCCAAGGACCAGCTTGTGGACTTGAACAGCCCAATGCAGCGACACCACGACTCTCTCTCTTTTTTTTTTTTTTTTAACCATAGACTCAATATTGTAGCTTAAGGCTTAAATTCTCACTTAAGTTCATTTAGTTTCAAAAATGCTGATCACGTTCTTCCTTCTGTGATTTTCCAATCTATTTCCAATCTTAGAACATTTATTACTATAATTTATCTTGTTTTATGAAGCCACCCTTTGGAGTTTTTGTGTAGTCTGCACTGAATTTTATTTCTTTTCATTTTTTAAACATGTTGAGTGTTAAGGGAGTGTTAATCTAAGGTTACTTCAGATTTCTTATATTTATTGAATTTACTCCCCTAAAACTTTACCTCATGATCCCCTAATTTTCTCAACATTGTGGTTTAACGGATCCTATGAGTAGCCCTGGGTGGTTGAAGCACTGCTCTGCTAAACAAATGGCCAACAGTTCAGTCCCACCACCAGTTTCCCATGGAGAGAAGACCCACTATCTGCTTTCATGAAGACCCTAGCCTAGGAAACCCTATGAGAAAGTCATATCTTGTCTTCAAGGATAGTAAGATCCATGCATATTTTGAGCAAGACATAACAGTAATTAACTAATACATGAATTCTAATTTGTTCTAACTTCATAGGTCCAGTAAATGATCCATATGATCGATAGAAAAACAAGTAGTAAAATGAATTCATTTTCATTGTCACTGAAATAAGACATTTAGACTAATTAAGATATCTGAGAACAACTGCCTTGACTGGAAATATAAATATGCCCTGTAAGGCAACCAGCACAGCCTAGACTACTTTTCTCCTAAATTCAAACTAAGAAACCAATAGACATTGCAAAGAAAAGGCAATGAGAATCAGATTGTGACTTGATATTCTCCCTTTTTCTGTGCTACAACTGATGTTATTACTGTTGCATTTCTTGTCTCTGTGGACACAACTCCCCGAAGGTGCAGCTTAAACATTTTATCTTTCTTTTATTTATTTATTTAGTTCCAAAGTTAATTCCACTTCATTAGCGGTTGAATACAGTCACCAAGGACATTTTTGTTTATTCATTCAAATGTTCCCTGGGTACTTGAGCAGATAAAACTAAAAAACACACGCCATCTCTATCAATTAAAATGTAATATAATTCTTTTCTGAGAGATATCAGACAATCATCATTGGTCTTTATCTATTTTTGAGCCACAGAATATAGAGAAACAGCATTTTCTACATTGACGAGATAGCAAGCAGACTCAACTTTAGGCCTGGTGAGAATAAGAACAGAGCGGTGCTATTCTCTGTGCCATTTGGACTGCAGTGACCTGGCATACCACCTTTCATTTGCAGCCATTTATACCAGGAAGAACACAAGAGGTTTAAATTAAGCCAAACTTAAAGACCACTCCTGGCACCCAGTGTGTCCCATGCCCAAGGAAGAACTTTGGGTTAAACTGCCTAAAACATTATGAATAACCACCAGAAAGTAAGTATAAAAACTTGGATATAACATTTGAATATTATATAAAGAAAATTACTTTAAAATAGAAAACAAAACAAGTGACCTGTGGTTACCGTGGGTAAAGGAAGAAGGGTTTTTGCTCAGGGGCATTGAGCTTAGGTCCATGGTGGTGGAATTATTTGGAAAAGGATATCAATAATGGTTGCACAACACGAAGAGTATAATCGATGGTCCTGAGTTATACATGTAGAAGATGTTGAATTGGAGAATGTTTTGTTGTGTATATTTTTGCCATAATTTTCTAATTATATGCATCACAATGGGTACACAGAAGAAGAAAGTGGTCTGAATTTGATTGTGGTGATGACAGTACAATGCTTCTTGATAAGATGGAATTATTGAAGTATGAAGTGCCAATAAAACTGCTTAAAAAAATAATAAAGAGGAGCAAAAGAATGAGGAACATATTCTAAAACTGATTGTGGTGATGATTGCACAACTCTTCTTGATACCATTGAACATTTGAATTGCATTATATCTGAATCATAAGACAATAAAACTGTTTAAAAGGTAAATTTTAAAAAGCTTGCACTACCCTGTGGCTGGGTTTGGGAGCTGAAATGACGGAAGTCGTGTGAAAGCAGCCTCTAGGGAAAGGCAGCTAGCAAGAATCTCTCTGCTACAAAGTCTGGATCCAAGACACTCCTTCACGCTTAGGGAGATTTTGAAATTAATCTTCGAATTTTTACTTTGTTCTACATAATGCAGCATTTGAAAGACCACTATGTACACAGCTGGAAAAGAATATTTCTCCCTTATTCACAAAATTCTAAAAAGAAGAGTTAGAAAGACAACAAACTGGTATTTTATAGTTTAAGCACTTGGATAAAAATGAACTTATACTGAAACTTTCCATTCTATTTTCAGCTCCTCCCTAAGTTTCCTTGCCCCTAAAACAATTGATATGAACAAAAGTCACCCTAATTAGGTTAGATTACATTGTTGGATCTGCATCCTCTGGAGTTGATTATCCTTTTACTGATTAGTTTAGTCAAATAACTCACATGTTTAATTAGGACGTGTTTGCTATGAATTAAAAACATTATATGACCAGGGAAATATAATGATGTAATGATGATGATGATTTTAGTAAAATATGCTATTTAAAAATAGGCAATAAATCTTAGAATGAAATGTATCTTACTTATGATAAAAGTCTAAAAGAAACAATTAGATATTTGTTGGGAATACCATTTAGTAAAGATATATATTAAATAATATTCAAACATAATCAATTCCTAAAGATTTTAGAGAAACAAGTTTATTGAGATATGGAAGTATTCATTGCTAAATATTTCCTAAAAGATTAATTTGACAATAATTACCAAAAGTCTTTTGCATCTATATTTCTTTTGGATTTGTTCTCAATGTGGAATTAATATGAAGTGTAAATAGATTTAAATGCAAAGGTGTTCACTGAAAAATTGTTATAGAAGAATTAAAGAAACTTAAAAGCTGAATATTAGAATGCTAAGTTTTATAATTTTCTCCTCTCCTTGTATGTAATGAGAATGAATGAGCAAATAAAATTGTTTTTGAAGAATATTTTGTGGGGTAAGGAACACAGTAGAAGTAATTAAAATGAAGTGTAAAGTAAGAAAAGTCCATAACAAATTTTGTTTACCATATAATATTTATTTTGTAAAGCATAAATTTTTAAATATGTATAATTTTAGAGAAACACATACAATAAGTTGTTAATAAATCTACACTGCTGGTGATGTGATTATAAAAGTAAAACAATTATGCTACATAGCATATCAATCCAGCATACTTTACCAAGTATGATGTCTTTCTCCAGGGACTGATCCCACCTGATAACATTTTCCAAAGACATGATATGAACTCCCAATATCCTTGATTCTAGTAACCTTCCAGCTGCACTTCCTGCAAGACAGCGTTGTTCCTTCTTCTGGCCGTCCAGCCTTCTTTCAGTATTCTTCCCCAGCACCGCGATTCAAATGTACCAATTCTCTAGTCTTCACTATTCACTTTTGCTGAGTTGGTCAAATCATCAACCTTTTGGTTAGCGATGAAATGTAAACCATTCGTACCACCCAGCAACCTGATATCAATCTTAGCTTTGCTAAATATTAATGCCTAATAATAACTTTTATGTGGGGTAATAAATACAGAATCAGAGTCTAGCCTTCTTCCAGAATGCTGAAGAACAGAGAAATGTCCTGAATGTACAAAGAGTAGTAACAATTCTAAGGTCAAGGTGAACCTTTAAAGAAAGGATTCATGGCGAAAATATTTTTACCCAAATGAAATTCTCCCTGCTTTTTCCTACTTAAGGATACAGATTTCATGTTAGGAAGGGGGCTTTCAGGTAACCTCAGAAGGCATTGTGAACATTAATAGGTATAAATTACAAGTCCCCAACAAGAATCATAGAAGTTTACCAACAATAATCATAGAAGTTTAAAGCAGGATTTTGCTTTCTCTGAAAGGTCATAGAACATCCCATTCACTGGAAAAACATGGGCTTCATGGGATATCAGGCATCAGATGGATATTGAAACAGGAATTCAGAAGCAGAAACAAAGCAGAGGCATAGGAGGAACACAGAATTGAATATTTCAACATATTATTGTAAAGGAACCATAAATAAGAAATTCTGTAAGAGTCGTGGCTCAGAGGGTCTCATGGTAATTCTGGAATGCTGGCACAGGTCAGGCAAACAGTAAAGGTTACTAGGATACAGATTAGGTTAAGCAGGAAATAAGGGTTTGAGGGAGTAAGGATTGCAAAACATGGAAAATACTACTGCCAAGGAACGGGTGGCATTACATTATCATAATTTATGAGAATAACTTGATGCACTGTCCTTACAAATGTCTACTTGAAATATTTATACAGAATTTCTTCATTTTTTACCAACATTTATGGAGCCCCTTTAGGAATTCCATGATGACTCCCTTATTCTCAGCGCCTGTGAGGCTTTTTCCTGTGTTCTTTCTACCTACAGATTGGTCCTGTAACTAGGGATGAACTCAAACTTCAGATGGATATTTTTCATGAAGGCCATTCTGAAGAGCAGAGTAAAGTAGAGTGGAGGGAAATGAAGTGAGGCTCAACGATTCCCGTATCAACATTGCAAAAAATCAAGCAAAAGACATAAAAACGTACTTATATCCTGATTGAATTTTCTCCATATAACATATTAAAATATTTTTTCTATCCTCTATTCCTCAGCTACAAAGTTGATGAGTTAAAGAACAGACTCATTATATCAAAATCACGGATGAGAAATAATTCTGCAATAACATTCATCCTGCTGGGACTAACAGATGATCCACAGCTACAGGTTTTTCTTACGGTATTTCTGTTTCTCACCTACGTATTTACTGTTGCTGGAAATCTAACCATTATCCTTCTCACATTAATGGATCCTCACCTTAAAACCCCCATGTACTTTTTCCTTCGGAACTTTTCCATCTTAGAAATATTATTTACAACTGTCTGTGTTCCTAGATTCCTGTACAGCCTGACAACTGGAGACAAAACTGTGACCTATAATGCTTGTGTCATTCAATTATTTTTTGTCATCCTCATCGGAGCAACGGAATTCTTTCTTCTAACCGCCATGTCCTATGATCGCTATGTGGCCATTTGCAAACCCCTACACTACACCACCATTATGAATGACAGGGTGTGCACTATACTGGTTCTTTCCTGTTGGTTGGCTGGGTTAATTGTCATATTCCCACCAATTAGCCTAGGAATTCAGCTTGATTTCTGTAATTCCAATATCGTTGACCATTTTGGCTGTGATGCATCCCCTCTTCTGATGATTGTGTGCTCAGACACGCAATTTGTAGAACAAGTTGTTTTAACCATGGCTGTGCTGACCCTCATATTCACACTGGTGTGTGTAATTGTGTCCTACACATACATCATCAAGACTATTTTAAGACTTCCTTCTGCTCAACAAAGAAAAAAGGCTTTCTCTACTTGTTCTTCCCATGCGATTGTCATTTCCATCACCTATGGGAGTTGCATCTTCATCTATATCAAGCCAGCAAAGGAAGGAGTGGCACTTAATAAGGTGGTGTCATTGCTCAACACCTCATTTATCCCTTTGATGAACCCGTTCATTTACACACTACGAAATAAGCAAGTCAAACAGGCCTTTAAGGACTCAATTAAAAAGATGGCATTTTTCTCAGAGCATTAGGAGACTTTAAAATTAATACATATATTATACATAATATATACATATGGAATTGTTTCTTCATTTATTATATGTTCTAACTCAAATATAAATTGAAGTTTCATTAAGCTCTATTTTTCTATTACTCTTAAAAGCACAGAGTGACATGAGATTACTGTCTTATTTCAGGTAAACTTTCTTTCAAATGGCTCATTTTAAGTGGATATGAAAATAGATTTCTAGAAAGTCCACACAAGACCTCATTATCCTTATGATGGAAACACACAATAAAAAGGAACCAAGAAAATTTTGAGTTTTATTTCTGTCTATTCATTCATTTACAGTATTTTTTCCTTATGAAGTAGAATAAATCAAAGGGAATGATTCTTATTTTGTCAGTCTGTCCTAATCCTTTTCCTCAAACCCTATAGATGTCAATACATCTGTATACTTAAATATTTTGTAGTAGTCTACACCCATTTGTCTTAAATTTGAATGCCTGGAGTCAAAGTCTCTTCTTGTGTTTCAACATTTGTTGTACCTGGAGCCTCATGGTCCCACCAGTGCAAAACACATGGAACAGAAGATTTAGATCAGTGTTTTAATTGTTTTATTTTTAAATCAACAGTACATTTTCTAAAAATACAAATTTCTATTCAGTAGGTGTGGGGTAAGACTTGATACTCTGCTTTGTTAATAAGCTTCTGGATATGTTGTTGCAACTGATCTGATAACCACAATTTGAGTAACAAGGATTTAAAATAATGATCGGTAATATCAGGTATATTTAGATATTCAAATAGCCGGTTCTTGTCTCCATATTAGGTAATGGTGTTGGTGTCTAAGAATGCCTTGGAACAAATTAATACATTTAATAATCTCAAGAAAGTTAGCTATCTACTCTAGTTACCACAATGCAGTGCTCTACAGCAATATGAATTTATTTTTCCTTTCCCTAAATCATGTCATTCAGAGAAAGAAAAAAACTTGAGAGGTAAAACACAGAGCCATGAAATTCCAATAAATGTCAACTTGACATCAAAGACAATAAGCGTTGTGTGGTTATTAATCCTGATTTTATGTATCTTTAATTCATGAAGATCAAATTTACCAACAACAGTAAAAATATATGTACACCGCTTGTGTACTAAACAAAGAGGATATAGTACAGGCAGGGTTAAGCAATATACTGACAAAACGCTTCCACCTACATCTCCAAAAAAGTCATGATTTGAGATTTCCTCCATAATTCATGACATATTAATCTCCTATTTATATTTATCTCAGACTTCTAAATATTTCACATTAAGATTGTCTCTGCATTTATCCCTAGTTTCCTTCTATCCTGTCACCACTCTCATCTAACTTTTCTCATCTCAATTATAGTATCATTGTAAAATATTCTCATCAGTCCCTTTACACCTCACCTCTTCATCTGATGATCCCACAACATATCTAAAGAACTTTTTTCACAGAGCAAGCCTTTGGAAGGTTTGATAAGTTGTTTCCGTTGTTGAATGCAAACATGATTATCTGCTAGGTAAATCACCACCTATTTCACAATTTTCAAAAAGTTTTCTAAAAGGAGAAAGGTTAGGTCCTTCTAGTAAGTCTTAATTATCTAGGGGGAAAATATACAAGTTTTATAGCCTTGTAGTGGAAATGGAAATCAGAACCTACCACCTATCCAAAGTAATTTTACTTACTGCGTGCTCTCAGCAAACTTCTCTCCATGATGTTTTCCAATTTTGAAAAGAAAAATCCATATTCCTTATATCATGTCCCAATTCATAGCTCTGGAGATCACTCTTACCACAGTACTTCCAGATATAATCTTCTAAATCCAACTTTACCTCAGCATTTCCAGTTTTAATCAGTCATCACTGTTCTACCTTAATTACAAACTGCTGAGGAATATCCGCCTTCGGGTCCAGTTATCAGTTGGTTGGTGTGTCAAATTATCGTAAGGACTGTTTATTTTCCCCCTGTGTTTGATTTAATTTGGGTATTCTTACGGTTCATAAAAACAATAGAATTTATACCCTAATTAGATTACAAAGGTAAAATGCATTACTTCAGAAAGCCAATGAAAATCATTAAAACTCGACGTACAATCTAAATAGGCTTTCTTCAGTAACTCAAAATCACCTTTATCCTCTAATATTTATTAGAGTATTCATTAGAGTCGAAAAAATAATCTAACGGAGTGATAAATATAATAGATCATGCTTATCTACTAAAATATGTGTTGAACAGTTCGAGCTGGGGGTGGGGGGTTGGAAGTGGAAGGATCTAGGGAAGTGGACATCTGGATAGGGGCCCAGAACAGAACAGAGACTTGGACCAGCCCATTTAGAGGCTTAATGATCTGAAGTGTTTGTCTGCAATCACCTGTCTACAAGGTCTGCGTATGCATTTGGGGCCTGAGATGATGAAGAGTGGAGTGTAAGTAGGCTCAAATTAAATCACGCACAAAAGAAAGGAAGCTGAAGAAGAAACAGACCAAGGAGTGTACGAAACCACCATAGGCATATTCTAAATTTTATATCAATAGACAAAGATCTAGAAGCATAAAATAAAATTGCCAACCATCTTCTGTTTAAACCAGAATATGATTGAAAATATATCCTCTAGGATTGGTATCAAAGCCCCACTTATGAACACCTGGTTTACAGAAGGCTATGCATGACAGTGGAAGCCCAAAATCCATGTTCATTGTCCTTACATTCTCTCCAGGGAATCCCCTCTGTTCATACTTGAGGGGTGTGAATAGCCCTGTTATCAGACAGTGAGCATCGTAAAGTTGATTATGGTAGATGTAGTTAGGGTAAAATGTAATACCTTATGGTTCGTGCTCCCTTTTGACCCTTTTAAAAGTTGTTTCAATTTTAAAAGAAAAAGAGGAGGGAAAATACACAGGGATGAGTCCCCTCTGACCAGAGACCAGAGATGTGAATAGTCTTGCTATCATGCAGACTACATTAGAAAGTATATTGTACAGATAGGGTAAAGTTAAAGTTTAACATCTTATCATTTTGATCTCCCATTCGACTCATTTTAAAGTTGTTCTAGTTTTTAATATTTTCTGCTTTCTTTTCCATTGAGATACTTCAGGCAAAGTGACCAACTAGGTATATGGACCAAAATTTTTCCGGGTAAAAAGTTCTCTTTCCTGCATCCCTTCAGGACTATCCCTACAGCTGCTTACTTTCAGTAGTTTCATTGTTTCATCTATACAATCTTTAAACAAGGACTGATCTTTTAAAAGCAATTAGTCAAAAGCAATTCCAATTAGCCATAGGAATTAATCTATATTAATAAGAGTATATGAGGGGGTACCCACCCCAAAATAAGGGAACATTTTTTTCAAAGCTATGTATTCCTTTTTAAAATTTTTTTAACAAAACAACCATATCACCTTCATGCACTTACATTTCTCAACTCTGTGATTCCATTCTTGGAAACAGTTTTTCTAATTCATCTCTTTGGATGACAGATGCACCGCCCTCATTTTGTTCTTCACCTCTTCTGTGTTGTCAAATCACTGCCCTTTCATGTCGCCCTTCATTCACAGAAACCAAAACAAAAATAAATCACATGGAGCAAGGTCAGAGCAAAAGAGGCATGTTGTTTTCTGCCCAACTGGAGCAATGAGATGGCTGCATGATTAGGTGTGTTGTCATGGTGGCAAAACCAGTACCCTGTCTGCCACAAATCAGGCCTTTTCTGTGACATACTGTTACACCATCTTTTCAGACCCTCTATATAGAAAGATTGATCAACAGTCTGGCCTGGTGGGACACATTCCAGATGCACCAACCCCTTCGCAACAACAACAAAATTAGCATCGTCGATCTTAGATTTCACTTAACAAGCTTTAGCGGGGCAAAGTGAGATGGCGTCTTCCACTGCTTGTTGATGTTTCCTTTCAGGGTCGTAATTAGCACCATGTCTTGCCCCCAGTAACGACCTTAGGAGAAAAGTCTGAGTGGCTCAGAGCTGTTCTTTCTAAGCGAGGCATGTTTCCATTCGATGCTCCTTCTCTGATCAGCCAGAACCCGAGGCACGAATTCTGCAGCGACCCTTCTCATCCCCAAATCTTCTGTCAAAATTCACTGACCAGAGCTCCAACTAGTCCAGACAACTCCCCCATGTTTTCAACGGTCTCTTGTTGGTATTTGAGCACAAGTGCACAAATTTTGCCAACGTTTTCATCTGTTTGGGAAGTTGATGGAGTCCACAAAGAGGCCTGTCATCAACATTTCACCTTTTTGAAATGAGAAAACACGCATACACTTGAGTTTTCCCATAGTGCCATCCTTGTAAGCTGTATTCAACATCACAACAGTTTCTTTTCCCAAGCAGGAATCAAAATTTTACAGCCACACTCTTTTCTCTCAAATTGGCCATCACAAGAAAATAGGTTTGAACACTGCTTTTATGAAAAAATTCACTGTGACCAGAGAGAATCTTCCCAGGTGATGTCACTGTGTGTGCTAGCTCAGAGTGAGTTGCTGGATGCTCACCTAGGTGTCAAAATGCATGCTATGAATGCTGCGCCCAGCAGAGCTTTTTCCTGATTTTATTTTTTGGAGTACCCACTTGTAGGTTGAAAGACTGAAAGAAACAAAGCAGAAGTTTGAGAAAGGAGAATTTGAAGCACTTACTTGTGCAGCTTATTTGTGTCTTAACACCTATCTCAAAACAAGGCTAAACCCATATATACTATTACCTCTAAATGATGGAGTGCTTCTATGAACATCCAACCTTCTGTACTAGTAAGTCAGAACACAAATGTACAATATGTCCACAGGGTAACAAGCAAGTCCCAGAGAAGTCCCACCAAGATGAGAGAAGTCCCACACCATAAAGGCTCCAACAACAGAAGGAAAGAAATCATGACGAGAGAAGAAAGAAATGAACAGGAAAACCAAAAACAATAGGAAAACCCCAACAAAACAAGAAATGGATTGTTTGACAAGATCAACAAAAATTGGCAAACTTAACAAAGGAAAGAGAAGAGAAACATGCAAATATCTGGAAGTTGACATGAGAAGGGTTACATGAAAACAGATGCAGATGAAATAAAAAGGACAATACCACAGTACTACCAAAGACTGTAATCCAATAAATTGGATAGTCTAGAAGAAATGGGACCATACCTAGATATGCATCATCTATACAAATTAACACAGACAGATGCAGAAAACCTGAGCAGACACAAGGAAAAAAATAGAGAAGGTCATCAAGAAACTTCCAACCATGAAAAACCCAAGACAAGATGGCTTCACAGTGGAATTTTACCAAGTGTTCAAGGAAGAGCTGTCACCAATTCCACACCAACGATTCCAAAGTACAAAAAGGCACAGCGCACTCCCAAGCTCATTGAATGCAGTGAGCATAACCCTGATGCCAAAACCAGGCAAAGACCCCACAAACACAGAAAACTACAGACAACACTCCTCATGAACACACATGCAAAAATTCTCAGCGAAATTCTGTGCAATAGAATCTGAACGCATATTTTTTTAATGGGATTCAAACCAGGGATACAAGGATGGTTCAACATGCAATCAATGTAGTTTACCACATAAACAATACAGAGAACAACGTGATCATATCACTAGTTTTAGAAAAAGCATCTGGCAATATATAATCCTCATGCTAATAAAAACAATTAATAAAATGGAAATAAAAGGGAAATTATTTAACATATTAAAGGCCACATACAAAAATCAAATAACCAACATCACACTCAATGGGGAAAAACTGAAAATATTTCCCCTGAAAACTAGAACTAGACAAGGGTGTCCCTTATCACCATGATTATTCAACATCCTACTGGAAGTTTTAGACAACAAAATGAAATCAAAGCAATACAAATGAGCAAAGAAGTGAAATTTTAACTATTTGCAGATGATAGGATTTTATATGTCACCCATCTTTTGATCTCTTGATTGCTGCTTTTGTGAGCTTTGATTGTGGATCCAAGCAAGGAAAACCCCTTGACAACTTTAACGCTTTCTCCATTGGTGCAGTTGTG